TTGATCACTGAGTAGTAACTCACGTCAGCCTGTCTATACAGTCATCAAGTAGCTGTAGAGCTTGAATGTTCATAGAGTCGCACTCATATTTTCGACTATATATTATTTGGCAGAGATGATTTCTATTATTCTTCGAAAAAATCCTCAATTTAGGGTATTCACACTAATGCTTCATACATAAATATAGTTATTGTTTTTAATACTTCGATAATTCAATTATCATGTTGATACCTGTTTTCGTCTCACAATATGACAGAGATTTTCCGTGTTTGTCTTGTATTCAACCTTATTTAAACATGAATTATTGCGACATATGAAAATAAATAATGGCACGTGTATGCCGTTTTATTTAATCTATTAATTATGTAATATACTGTAGTCTCTCAATGTGCGGCAATTAAGACGAATGTATTTCTAGTGATGAATGGTACGATTAGACTCAACTTTATTGATTATTTTTCCAAGAGGCTTGAACCAATATCTTAGTTGATCTACTGCTTAGTATTATTAGTCAATGTACTATGATTAGTTTGAATTTTGGTCTTGCTAATTAGATAGGCTTTGATCATAATATTCATTTTAGAATAATGGTTATTTCACGAAGTATAAACTAAGTTATGATAAGCGGTTGAATTTCAAAACTGAGTTAGTATTGATTCAAGTTTAGATTTTGAAAGCCTTTTCTTGTCAATTGACCATAATGTTAAGTCGTATAGGCATATCACATAGTTTATCGTCCTTCACGAGTCCTGGACAATATTTAAAAAAAATAGTTAGCTGATTCTATTTATACTATGATAATTAACGTCGACTTCTATCGTCTTTTGAATATATGTCTTATTGACGAATAGCGTTAATTAATAGTAGTATTATGCACTCATGGCTTCAACATTAAGTTTAAATCTTTAGAAAAATCAGGCCATGTCTCATTGAGTGTTTTTCTCTCTAATCATCCTTACTAATAACATTACCATTGTCGATTATAAAAAAATATACTTAAATGTATGACATTTTACTGCATAAATATCGCTAAATTGGTGTTGATATCTCAGACAAGATATATATGACCGTACTATTAATTATATTTGTTTTAATTTCGATACTTAATTCTTTGTATTCTTTCATGAACAAACAAGTGGATTTGGAGTAAGGTTTTGATAGTTATTGTAATTTTCATAGTTGAAATCATGAGTCAATTGAAGCTAGACCACTAAAAAAACCCTGGAAACACTGGACGGCCGTTTCGTCCTATTGTGGGACTCCTCAGCAGCGCTAGAGGCGAGATCGTGAATGAGCACTGCTGAGGAGTCTCACAATAAAACGAAACAGCCGTCCAGTGCTTCCAGGTTTTCCTTGGTGGTCTAGCTTTAATTGACTCATGATTCCAGCTATGAAAAATACTGAAATCTCTATAAAACTCCTAGTTATTGTAATGATAATATCAGTGTTCAAGGCATCAAGGAATTACTAAGTATTACATTCATAAAAAACAAACATCCTATAACAAATAATATTTATTAATAATGTTCATATTTGTGCACCGTATTATAGGGTTGTTTTTCTATTAAGAGTTTACAAAATAGTAAAGTATGAGGGGAGACATAATAATAATAATAAATCTGAATGTTAGCAGATCTTATAAGTCAGTCAATCATAGTATGAATACGAAGTGGATGGGGTTTACGCATACCAGTTCAAATGTAATTTAAGAGAATGAGAAACAGAGGAGATGAACTTCTACTTCGCAAGAAAAATATAGCCTAGAAGTAATAAACGACACCAAATAATGGAATGTTTGGAGTGACACTAGGAAAAACCTAGATTTAAAGAAAAATAAAAAATAAAATGAATCGCTCTACTGTAACATATTTTGAGGCATATCATCTAGAATTTCTAATGTAACACTGATTAATATGTGGGAAACAATGATTTAGACTGAAGATGGATGAATAAGTTCCAGAGAGAGAAAAACATCAGCCGAACAAGCCAAAGTATATTTTACTTAATTACTAACCGATGAGATAGGTGGAAGGATAAGAATTGCGCTAAACATGTACCATTAATTATTTAAATGTAATGTCAACCACTGATCAGTTGTATGGCATGGAATTGATGATTTTTTCAAACACTAGATCCACTCGCATATAGTACGTGAAACTGAATGTTTTTGTTTGCTCAATAATCATGAAACATGATATCAAAAGATAAACTAAAGTCAAGAATAAGTGATAATACTAGTTACTATACGATTTTTATTCTACTTCATGTTTATAACATTAAATCGAACATTTTACAAACCAAATTATGATTTCTATCTATTTCATTCAACAATTAATTATGTATAAATCAATGTTTTTATATAAACCGAACAACTAGCCAAATTATACAAATTTGTCATTTATGTATTAAAGTCTTCATACTTCTTGATGAAATAAAGTGTAGTCATATGTGATAATAAGTAATTTATGGTTATAAATTCACTTAGTATTGTTTGTTTGAATCCTCCCATCGATGTGTTAGGACTGCAACTGGTCAGTCTCTAATTGGCATATGTGCATACTGTGCGTATTGCCTCGATATACCTTAATTCACAAGCACGGTATGCAAAGATGGATAGTGGCTAGCAGTGGAATCCAGAGCGCAAGTTTCGTCCTATTTGGGACTCATCAGCTGGATGTACCTGCATCTCAAAGTTGATGTTCACTCTGGGACTCGAACTCAGTTGCAGTCCTAAAAACATCAATGGGAAGATCCAAACAAACAATACTAAGTAAGTTTGAACTTCACCCCATTGCACAAGAAAGTGGCTATCAGGACTCAGTGGCCAAGTGGATAACGCGATGACGTTTGAAGCGAAAGTTACTGGGTTGGAGTCCCAGAGTAAACATCAACTCTGAGATGCAGGTACATCCAGCTGACGAGTCCCAAATAGGACGAAGTGGTGCGCGTCCTGGATTCGACTGCTAGCCATTATCCATCTTTGCTTAATTTATGGTTATGTTTGTTTTAGTTCAGTGGTGGTTGAATTATGAAGCTTTGTTTTTAGATTCTGTTTAATACATTTTGGCTTATCGGTTGACAGATCATGCCTCTGTCAACTTGCCTATTCAACGTGAATTGACCTGGAATTCTATAGAGATTTAATATCTCACTCAATTACCTACAAAGATCGCTTTAAAAGATATTTTTTATCACTTAACTTCCGATCTGTATTAATGGATGATTAGTTGCTGTATTGCAATTTATGCTGTAAATAAAGTTGATTTTAAAGTATATTTCGTGACTAACATAGAAATAAAGAACGTTTGTTTCATCCTATTTACTCGTCGACTGAGTATATCTGAATCATAGCGTCGATGTTTATACTAAAACTCAAAATCTGGATCTTGGAATGGAAATGCATCCAATTGACTAGTACCGAATAAGGTGATAGGTTCATCTTGAATTCCACTCCTCTTCACATACCATATGCACTAAAACCTGTTAGATAATGCTAATATAAAAATAATATAAACAATTTTAAAAGTGGTATAATCGGTTATTGTTATTTTAAGATGGTTACAGACCCAATAATTTGTGCAGTGAATACCATTTTACAAACAGTTAGCCTTAGTAATCACGCTATCAATAGCCTAACTTCAAATTCGAACGTGGCAACAGCTGGATATTCTGAATCTTCATATATTTGGGAAAAGTGTTTTCACAATCAAACCCATCATTGTTACCTTAGTGTTTAAGGTCTACCCTCAAAATTTATAGTTAGAGGAAAAATTATATTCGTTTTGGTGTTTACCTGATAAAATGATCTGGTTTTTCGTCGTCGAATTATGACATACCATCCTTCAGGGGAGTCTCTATTAGATGCTGGTAGTACGAGATGTTTTTTAGTCCTTTCCCGGTTGCTAAGGTCTTCGTTAATGAATTCTTTGGTTCTCCCACATATATATATATATATATATATATATACCTACAATTTTAAAATATACCAACGCAGAAATGTTAAGAAGCACACAATGTGGCATTTTGAAATGTTAGGACGTATAACAACGATTAGTTGATCAAGAAAGTGGGCAAATGAATTAACTAAAGCATACTTTTTCCCCCCTTATTTTGTCCTTTTACAACAAAACAGATATTAAATCGTATGACAGATCGATAACATTGGATAAAACTAATCTCTTTATCGTATCTATATTAGGATTAAAAAGAGCTATTTACGTAATAAGGCTTAAGTTTCGGTTGAATATATTTCTTGTTCTGATGTTGGATAGTTGAAATTAAATCAGCAGTAAATTTTTGACCTTGGTTTTGGGCTAGTTGGCAATCGCTGGAACCACTCATGTACACTATCGAGAGGAACTGTTGCTCCTTTCTGGAATCAAACCCTTGTCGCCTTGTGTCAGCGCCTTCAAGTCTGTCACCACAGCGCCATTTTAGATATAACTAAAGTCCTGTACTATGTCAGACTAGAGGTCATACTGAAACCTGGACAACACCAAGGACTAAAGAAATATTAAATTGATTACCACTCAGTGATCTGTTAAAATGTTTCTTATGTATGCTGACAAAAGCGTGGTTGAAGCTCTGTTCAACTCCATTGTTTTGTAATTCCCATGGTCGATTTTGTATGTTTTAATAAGACTACCCTCGTTTGACAACTCGATTTTACAGATCTGATGCAAAATCGTTTTCGGAAATGTTATGTTCCATGCATATGTAACAGCAAAAAAAGCAAGATAGTCGGTGAATGAACGAATGCAGCATGAACTTTTGGTATACTAGTCGAGTAACGCTTTTTGTTCAACATAAGGTTAATATTTTTTCTCACATTTATAATTTGTAAGCTTTTTTATTATTTGTGATGTATTACGGATTTTATTCTGTTCCCTAGGTTGTTAAAAATTGCGTTTCTAATTCACATAAACCGTTCTATTCATTACAATTAAACGCTTATACTGTGTACTGAAAATTTCACTGTAAATTGTTTATTTTTATCCAAGGTCACGTGAATAATCTGTATAACACTTGTTTTTGGAAACTTGTTCAAAATGCTGGTCTAAGTGGAACAGAGGCTGAAGAACGCCTAAGAGTAAGACTGCTTTTTTTCAACTTTTTAATGGTTGTGGTTATTAGATGAATTGATTACTTACGTTCATATAGTTTAACCTAATTCTCAAGTACAAGTTTATCATACTCAGCTTGAAGACACATACATGGTTTATGTAATAGAGACTAGTGATACTAACAGTTTGTAAAATTATGTATAGCAAGTGTTATACATGTGATCTGATCATTACAAACCAAACGCTTTAACCAGTAGTAGGCTAACACCTTAAAGTTTCATGTCTAAAAAAACAGTGTATTAATCGTAATAGTAGTTGATGTGTGATTGACCGAATTGGAATTAATTTACAAGTATGATTTATGTTAGTATCTTCTATGTTGTAATTAGAAGTTGTTCAGTAATACGAGATGATACTTTCTTAAAATAACTAGAATACTATATTATTACTATTATTATTATTATTATTATTATTATTATTATTATTATTATTATTACATGGATGACAATTAAATGAAGTTACTGGATTCACATCCAGTTGATATTTATTCGACCATTGAAAACAAAGCAATAATGGAGAAAACAATTGTTCTTTCACTAATTATTATCAGAAGGGGTTTCGTGGAGATTTAGTATTCTCACACTTGAAAGCGTGAGTCAGTTGAAGCTAGACCACCATGGAAAACCTGAAAGCACTGGACGGCCAACTCGCCTTATTGTAGGACTCCTCAACAGTGCACATCCACGATCCCGCCTCGTGAGATTCGAATTCAGGACCTACCATTCTCGCGCCAGAGCACTTAGCCGATAGACCACTAAGCCGGCATCCAACGGTGAGAATCAGTGACCAGTGGAGTTCAAACCACGTCTGTTGTGAGATATCAACTCACTGAAGACAATTGGTGAACGGTTGCTCAACTTCGTGGATCACTTGAAGTTAGACAATAACACCGTTGGATGCCGGCTCAGTGGTCTTCCGGTTAAGTGCTCTGGCGCGAGACTCGTAGGTCCTGGGTTCGGATCTCGCGAGGCGGGATCGTGGATGCGCACTGCTGAGGAGTCCCATAATAGGACGAGTTGGCCGTCCAATGCTCCCAGGTTTTCCATGGTTGTCTAGCTTCAATTGACTCACGCTTTCAACTTTCAATAAATAAATATTTTTTTAAATGTAATCATGCCATAACTTTGAACCATCCAATAACGATTTACAAAATGTATTTAAAAGTGTTGAAAAAAAAGAACAAATTAAAATTGACATCAACAACTTGAAATCAATACAATTCTCGATATTCAATCGAACAGATTATACTCAACTACTATTAACATTCATATAGAGTAAAATTAATTACGTTTTCATTTTACATAGATTCACTGTGGAATTTCGATTTTTAGGTTTCAAGATTTGTGTAAGTTTCCAATATTCAATCATAGATATCTTCAAACTTGGGGTATAACGTAGAAGTCGTCAAGTGAGTAGTGCTAAGGTTGGATATAGGGTAATAGATAGCTGAGATATCCATTGTAAGTGAACTGTGATTGGTCACGGATTTTAGATAGATACTTCAAGTTATACCACTATAAGAAGCTATTTTCTGTTGTGAAATTTTCCCTTCCTATCCTCATGTTTACATCAATTTACTCTTATTGTGATTGATAATTGGTTCTCGGTCAAGCGGTTTGATATATGTGATTGTGTTACACGATAAAATAGTTCTGAATTATGACAGTAACAATATTAGTTCGATTAATGAAGCTGTAAAATTACATAATCTTATATCACTGTAAAGTATATTTTGCGCGCCTGAACTTTTTATACTCAGATATACAATGGTAACTAACATAGAAGAAAGTTTAAAGAAAAATGAGGTTAGCCAAATCGAAACATTAGAATAATCAATAGATTGATTACCGGTTAAACTGAGCTACTGTTGAGGGTACAAAGCTAATGATTGGTGCAGTTCAATTATCTTAAACAACGATTGAAGGCTTTAGATGACGTAATACCGAAATGGTCGTAATGGCATAAAACACATTCATTCTCTCTTTTCACTTTATACTTGAGTTTTGATGTTACTTGGCACCTTTCTTTCCCAAATGTTTTGTTCATGTTTGGCTTTTTTATCATTTATATTCCGACTACATTCGTTTTCTCTCTGTTGATTTTCACTCTCTCATTGTGCCTTTTGTGTGAAGTTGTGAAACGATGCACAAATGTTTATCGGTTCTATTTTGTTTACCACTAACGTATGTATTCGATAACTCACAGATGATAGTTAGCGACCATTGTCATTCGTATCCTAGCTTTCACGTTAAGACTATAATCTATGGATGACCTTTAAGCAACGCGAAAGTGGCCTTGAAAAAACTCATTTTATAGGGTTTAAAGAGCGTTATAAATCATTGTGAAGTATTAAATTCCACTCAATAGTTCAACTCAGAAAGTAAGTCAAATTTGGATAAACAGACTAGAATAATAATCACAAAACACTTAAAATAACGTAGTATTTAAATAATTTGGTTTTGAACAATATCGACAGTAAAAAAGGTGAAATGATCAAATTTTATGTTAATTCATATCTGGCGAAGGGAAAGGACAGAACCACTACGAATTCCTTCTGAACACTTAAACTAGGGTTATAGGTTCAGATCCCTACGTGGGAGACGGAGCTGTACACCATTAGGATACAATAAAGGTATACTATAGATCACTTGAAATGATTTACTTTTATCTACCACATGATGACTGTTAACGTGGTGTACTGAAATGGAACTACGTATTATTTTCATCTGGCCCTTTCCAAACTACACAGATAGATAAGTAAAGGTAGTCGCTACCAGTGGAATCCAGGACGCGCGCCACTTCGTCCTATTTGGGATTCGTCAGCTGGATGTACCTGCATCTCAGAGTTGATGTTCACTCTGGGACTCGAACCCAGTAGCGTTGACTTCAAAATCCATCGCGTTATCGACTCAGCTACTGAATGGCGGTAGCCACTTGCTTGTGCAGTGGGATGAAGTTTAAATTCACTTGGTATTGTTTGCTTGAATATTCCCATTGATGTGTAGGACTATAATTGAATAGTCTCTTATTGTTATATGTGCATACTGATCGATTGCAGTCCTAAATATCAATGGGAAGATTCAAGCAAACAACGTACAGATAGATGTTCACTCGTCTGTTGGTTAATCTGCCTAGTAGCACGCCCAATCTAACTATCTCCAGAGAACCAGTTGAATTTGTAAATAGACTCAGAGGGAAACTCAGGCAACTCCAAATGAGTTTACACCTATTCATGTACAGATATATATTTGGTTATTATTGATAACCATTTTTATTTTTATTCTTTTTGTCATCAATGTCGATGAACTCTTATTATATCATATCTCACCGTTACACTTAAATAAATATACGGTTGTAAGGAGCTTATGAGAAACCAATAAATATAATGAATTTATATTATTTTGTCTTATTTGTTGCTCTGGCTTTATTCAATCTAACTGAAGTGCTTGCTTATAAATGTTTCTCTCTGAGATTAGAATTAGAGTATGAACTTCAGTAAGTGTTTTAGTAGTTCTGATAAAATCTCTTCTAATTCTATCATCTTTCTAAGGAACAAAATCAGCTGTAATTATGAATCTCTTTATCAGTCATAGTATCGAATCATCATCCCTTCATGGGTAGAATCAATCGAAAATATCTCAATTATTTTACATATACTAAGCTATATATAATTTTTATGCTTCTTACAAATATTTATTATTCAAAAATTATATTTTCTGTAATACAGATGAGTTTCCAGCCAGAGTTTTTCGCAAAATCATAGTTCAGCCAAGTACAAATAGGTATTGATGTTTCATCTACTTTTGAAGTATAAAATTATCAAGTGTTGTTTTAATGATCATTAAGAAATGAAATAATATGACCCAGAACTGAACAGTAATAGGAGCTGGAACAAATTCATGAATCATGCTTTTACGAAGTTCATTCATTAAAAATTGATTTAGGACTAATTACAATGACATTAAGCTTACACAGAACGTCGGGAGTGTAAAATATGACTTGATATTGGTCATCTATTTGGTCATTAACATTTTATAAACTATATGTACTTCGTCAATATTAGATATGGATAGTATATAGCGACTCATATCACGCTAAAAATTACCAGAATCTAAAACCCATAAGGGTTCTTAAGTGTATGGTCGGATAAAAATAGTTTGTTAATTAGATGCGTCATTTTTATTCTTATTAATTGTTTTATGAATATCCATGTGACCACCTATTAACTTTTATCTCTGCACATTTTTCGTACACGTTTGAATCTTGGTTTATATCTGTGTAACTATATCTTGTGCTACACGTCTGGCTATGTAAATTGAGTCACTAATTCACATATTGATGAAATCGCCAAATCAACTCACATCAAATACTGTATAATTCATGCATTCATTCATACTTCTTATTTGGTTTGCTATGGTCGGAATGTTTGAAATTATATAACACTTCTTCATAACTCGTATTTCTATTTCTCTAATATACCGTGAACGATAGACATTGTCAAGGTGTTTTAATCAATTAATAATATCAGAATGGGGATTTTTGAAGATTATACTAATCTTGATAATTGAATTCATGAGTCAACCTAAGCTAGTCCATCATTGAAAACGGTCGTCTAGTGCTTCCAGGTTTTCAATTGTGGTCTAGCTTGGATGGACTAATGAATTCAACAATTGATAGCTTATAGTTTTAGGAATAATTAATCAGCATTTCAAGCACTAAAAAGCTATAAACAACATGGTATATCCAGTGAAGCACATTTTTTTCTTCTATAATGATTCTTGTTAAGTGTTATAAGACGTGTGAAATTTTCATCAAATTTTAATTATACTACTATACTGCTATAGATCATCAGTGAATTTTAGAAGACATTGACTATGAAATAACGTAACAATGTTATTGAATACTATGATAGTTATAAATGAGCTCTAAGTACATTCATCATAACTTTCTGTCATTTAATAAATGAATTTCAGTAATCAATCATAGTTATTCCGAAATGTGATAGATAATGGATCAATATATGTATTAATACCACATATATTATATGTAAACAATTTATAACATACCCTGGAATTTTCTTCTTTTACAAAATAATTTAAGAAAAAGTTGTTTCAATAAAGTTTACAATTATTATTAGCGGTTATCGTCAGATGGTTAGTCTATTGATTAATGTGTTACCAACTAAAGTATGATTCAACTGTTAACTGTTAACCAACGTAATCAATAATAAGAAAATAATATATTAGGTTGGAAGCGGTTATATTTTTGAATAAAATAAACTTAGAGCTCGTATTGCATTTATCGCTAAACAGATTGATTTCGACATGAACTTATAAGACTGATGATGACCTCATCGAAGCTTAAGTATGACTTACCACAGAATCTTGAAACACAGTGTAATTTGTTAAATCTTGTCTAGTTCATTTGTTCTCTATCAGTTAGAAACGGATTAAATTATTTGCTGGTTTCATAATCCACATACAGAATAGATGTTATCTTTGATGTTAGAGTGAAAATTTCGCTTAATTATTGTTCTGCGATTAAATCATTTAATTAAGCAAATTAAGGTGGTGATTGGAGGTAGTCAACAGGACCTGACATACATAACATTGATCACCACTCAGTGATTAGTCATTTGTAAATTAAGCAAATTGTTTAGGCCTTACTCATTGTAAGTTGTGACCGAAGTACAGATCATATGAGTTACGACATGTGTAATTAATTAAAACATATGATTGGATAACATCTATTTCACCATGTGTATGCACTCTGGAATAACAGTACAGTGTGCTTGACGACTTGTAATTTCCATAAAATAATCGCATCATCAAGTTTTACCCGCGAAATTGTTTCGCCAAACAATTAGCTCAAACAAACTATGACTTCGATTGATTATGTTTATGCAAACGAGTTGACGGTAAGACAGGATGTTTCATTTTACAACATACCTAAAAAGCATGACTACTGAGGTCAGATAACATGAAAGTCTTACGTATAGATTTGATCACTGATGTTCGTTTGTGATAGGAAGTACCTAAATTGGAATTGAGAATTTCAGTTTACTGATAACTGATATGTTAAATCTTTATTTTATTTGTCCTTGAACTATTCCATCTTGACCTATCAACATTTTCCTACATTATTTTCATGTTTATTTTAAAGTGTTTTTTACTGTAATAAGTTTTTCTAACTGGTATAGACTGTTTGTAGTTTTATGATATTCTCGTTACTCAATGAAACAAATATAATCTACTAGTCAATTTATCGTTATTTTTTAGTTTCATCATGACAATCAGTGCACTTCATTACTGAAAATCATCATGTTAGTTTTGTGATGAGTCACTTCAGGCAACTTGTTTTCTATCCGATAGAGCTAGTGAATGAATGTTTTTTGGTAAAATGGAAGATCGAAGTATACTTGACTCATGCTAAACGATGTTCTATCTTGATAATCTATCGCTGTCTTTTTATAAAATTGATGTAAATCATTCATTGGATGGCTTTAATTCATGAAATGATTGAATATCATTACAATCCATATGAAAACGGGTAAAATCTCTAGTTTTTTTTATTCAGTGTAATAGTACTCTCAATGCGTATAAACTAGAAATTCCAACAATCTCCACAACCTTATATTAGTAATTATTAGTGTTGCTATTATTATCATGTTTTCTGACTTTCAGCCGAAAGTTTATCGCTGGATGTATTTTCCTAACTGATTTACTATGTACCTATTTGTATATTTGGCTTTGAACCACATTCTTAGTATGATGAGGCCTAGTGATATTACCCGGCTGTCAAAATTGAAGTAGATGAGAGAGGCGATACTTGAACTTGTAACCTGATATCTGAAATTTAGAAATTTTCACCTCATAACCAAGGCAACAGGAATCTATAATCAGAATAGGGGTTTGTGGAGATTTTATTAATGTTAATAGTTGGATTCATGAGTCGATTAAATCTAGACTACGATTGAAAGCACGGTAGCACTGGACGGCCATTTCATCCAAGTACGGAACTCCTCAGCAGCGCGCATCCACGATCCTGCACACGGGACTCAAACTCAAGACCTTCAGTTTACAATCTCCACAAGCCCCCATTCTGATAATAATCATCATGTGCTCACTAGCGACTGGCTCCAAGATGGATTTCCTGGAGTCCTAATGAGAAGCCTGGACCATTGGAGTCCAACCGTGTCTGTTGTGAGGCATTTACTCGCTAAAGACAATGGTGTATGGTTGTGCAATATCGTGGATTGATTGAAGTTAAACATTAACACCATTGAATGCCGGCCAACTCAGTGGTCTAGAAGTTAAGCGTTGTCATTCGAAACCAAAGATCATAGACGCGCATTTTTGAGGAGTTCCATACTAGGACGATACGGCCATCCGATGCTTTCAGGTTTTCCATGGTGGTCTAGCTTCAATTGACACATGATCTCAACTTTTCAAATTATAAAATTACTTGAACTTATTTAGTTTTAAATGTTATCATTTCTATTCGAATATTATTCACATTACCTAATTTGTTTTCATAGACTAGAAAAAAAAATAAATTTAAGAAAAAAAATCAATGATATTTAAGTACAAATCACTCAATTTTTTGTTTTATGTAAATTTAATCAAGTTTTTTTTGGTATTGATTTTTTTAAGGGAGGGGGGTATGATTATGTTAATATTACTTCATTCACTTATTGATATAAAAATCGCAGATAAACTTAATCACTTTATTATTATTATTATTATTATTATTATTATTATTATTATTATTATTATTATTATTATTATTATCTTAATCCAACATAACATTCATTCATTAATCAATAGAACATCTACTCAGAACATGTGTTAGTAGAACTTAAATAGACACTATAAAAAAAATGCGTATAAATTCAAAAATGTGAATTATGTTTGATTAATGATTAATCTTACATGAATTAAAAAGAAAAAAAAACATCTCATATTCAAAGACTAATAATAGTTGAATGAAGAATATTCTTTTCGATAAATTCTCTCTTCAGGTTCTACAATAATATATATCCAAATTAATAATAAATGGCCAGGTTAAGGGCCGAGTGCATAGTTTACAGTATGTAAAGTTAGGATTGTCAAACCAAATAGAATAGAAGGTTAACTTGAATTAGATCATATATTTTAAGTAATATTTTTAAGATCCATGATTGGAATCAATATGGGTCAAATAGAGTGAAAGAAATAATAGTGTAATTATAATTCGATCAAATGTTTAATGGAAGACTATATTGTGTAAAAAATAATTAGTAACATGAATGAGAAGTAATTGAACCACATATTGGGGAGATTAATAATGATGTTTAACCAATAATAATAATAATAATAATAATAATAATACAAAGATTATCAGAAGTGATTTTGTGGAGAGGTTGGCCAGGGGAGGAGAAAAGCTTGAAGATATTTCTTTCGTATGTGTAGCTCCTGTTTCTTCATCCAGATAGCTACTGCTTCAGCCGTTTAGAGGACTTTAAGTCTGACAAGCTTTGGTGAAAAGTCATTGACCTGATAAATAATTGAAAAGGATTGGTTTATACTTGCACCAGTTTGCATTAAATGGGCTAATATCGAGCTGTTCACTTTCTTCACCACACCACTGATTAACCACGGTAAGAGGTGTTCGCGAGCGCGAAAATGTAAATTCTTAGAACATTTGTTATCAGTGTAACATTACAACCACCTAATATTTATAAGTGATTTTTATTATCCAACAACTCAGTTGATTTGTTAAAATTATTAAAATTTTAAATACTGAAGAATATTTATTGTTCAAGATAAGGATTTTACGGATGATGTGTTTTTTCAGATAGATGGTACTTAGTAGAAAAACAATCAAATTCTCATTACTAAACCATCCAGTTTAGAGAACACCATACTTCCTAAAGAATTTCAGTCAGTGAAATCACAAATTGGAAAAGATTGTTACAAATTCAAAATAGATTATAGACTGATTTCAGCTGATCATTTTCTAGAAACCATGATTTGTTGGATAGATGGTACTCCTCGAAATTGTGTACTTCAAACCCTACACAAGGCAGAACCTATGTTATTTTGGTCCTAAAATATTAGGCAATCAACGCAAGGCAAAATATTCAACCGAAATCAGATTAGCAATTTATTGGTCAAGAATGAAATTATAAATCATGAAGTAACTAGTAACACTTCACTTTTGTCTGTCGTAATTGGTTGTAACCACGGTTTGTTATTTGACTGGCCTATCAGATCCATAAATTAGGTGTTTTGTTATATCTTGTCTGTTTAATACTCCTGTTGGGTATCGAAACAAGTAATATGTCATCAAGTCAAATAAATCGTTAAGTCCCATGGATATATATATATATATATATATATATATATATATATAGAGAGAGAGAGCTTCATGCACTGTGTAGCATATCCATAAGGTAACGTATCCATTTGAGACCGAAAGTCCTGGGTTCGAATTCCGTGACCGTGGGTGCACACTGCTGAAGAGTCCCACACCAGGACGAAGCGGCCACCCAGTTCTTCCAGGTTTACAGTGGTGGTCTAACATCCATCGATTCACGATCTCAATGAAAAACTTGACAATCTCCATAATCCCGTACCCATAATAGTAGTTATATATATATATATATATTTATTTATTTATTTATTTATATATATCTGTTACAGGGAACCCTATCAAGTGACAAAAATGAGTTATTGTTTTCACAATTCAACTGTAATTATAACAATGAACCAGAATTATTTCGCAAAGGCACTGTATTATTTAGAAATAAAGTAAGTTGAAATACAAATAATTCTCATTTTTATAAATAATTAACTTGCTCTTATCCGCTCATCTGCATGGTGATAATGAGAAAACCGTTAGAATTTATTGTTCTGATCAGTTACTCTATATCAGAGTGATTTTTTAATTGGTTATACAATCTGTTATGAAGTTTTGTTTCTTGACGGTATGATTTGTGAGCATTGATTGATAACATTTTCAAGAATTTAATGTGATAGGAATCGACTGCGTGGCATATATATATATATACTTAAACACGAAGGTTACACTCTCGGCTAAGTAAAACACGGAGCAGAATAATCCATCGCAATCAAGATAAATCCTACTGTTTATGTACAAACACATAATACTTAGTGTACAAACTTATTCGAGCCATTCGGTTGTGTGATCTTTCTGTCTCTATCCGGAGATACTGTGATTTGTTATAACTATTCTTCATTCAGAGATACTTAATTTGGACGTATTCATCTTGAGGTAGCCTGGTAGAATTCTCAGTCTATTATGACACATGTGCTATTAATTAAGAATAATTTGTTGGTAAGCATCATTGAGTTCCAGGAACTTTCACCGAATTCATAAATGTTCTGAAACTCATCTATGTGGACTGCGAAGACGGCAATAAGCAATAGCATTATAATTGATTGCTGACAAAAATCTGGTCTTCAGAGGCTAGTAACAAAAGGCGCAGATGAAGTCAGTGGCGTAAGATACCTAGTTGTTACAGAATGAATTTTGGCACATCAAAGAGGCTTAGGTTAGAGTAGCAATAATGACACCTAGTTTCCAATTCAGAAAGGTCGTCGTATTTGTAAATAACTCTAGATGAGAAAGAGGCAAATCCTAAGTAAAAACACGAAATTCAGCGAAGGTATATCTTTACAACAAATTTATTATAAAGCTGTACAATCGTATATATATGAAATTTTTTTGTTAAAGTACTAATTCCGTTAGGAAATGTGAACAGGAATAACCTAGATGACATAATAGAAAGATTATAATACTAGATTACGTAATACGAGTAATAACAATAGATTTAGTGAATATAATAAGATGAGTAAAATGTTTTTTTTGTTTCCTGTCGAAACTACTTCTATTCATATTCTTCTCTATGAAACAGTCTGGATAGCCATTTTTCGTCAACGTGACGACACATTCGTCGTTTGTGACGATAATATTGATTTAGAGGATATTTTACACACCTTTAACTCATGCCACCCATCCATAGACTTCGCGTTAGAAAGGGAGCGAGACCATAGTCGTAGTTTCAACAGGAAACCTAGTTGTTCCGTCCTAAAGTAAAACCTTTATGTGAGTCTGGATTTTAAAGGTGACCGAACATCAGATGTAATCATAAATCGTCTGACAACAACGATTAAAAGGACATTTAATGTGGCTTAACTGTGAATAACCTTCACTGGTAGGAACTTATTTTCTGTATCCATAAAAGATAAGCTTCTGCGTCTGGTCGTCTGTATGTGCATCTACCAGTTCACCTGCTCTTGTGGGGCAAGGTACATTTGCCATAGCCAGCGCTCGCTTTCAACTGGAATACGGGAACATATACTAGTTTGCTTCTACAAGGGTGAAAGGAAAGCAGTTACGAGTTTCATATTTGAACACCTAATCGACTGTAATCATTCTACGGATCCACAGTTTGATTTTAAGGTTGTTTATAGGATTCGTTCAAACCTACCTAGATTTGTTCGTATCCAACTCTTAAAAATAGCCGAAGCTCTTACCATCCATGAGCTTAAACCAGAACTATGCGTACAAAAGAAGTACGTCTTATCATTATCGTTACCGTGGCCTTAATTAATATAATTATTCCATTATTATTACTATTACCATTATTATTATTACTATTACTGAATTCCTTTTTACTTATGTCTTATATTCTCATAGTTGAAATCATGAGTCAATTGAAGCTAGACAACCATGGAAAACCTGGAAGCACTGGACGGCCAACTCATCTTATTGTGGGGTTCATCAACAGTGCGCATCCACGATCCGGCCTCGTGAGATTCGAACCCAGAACCTACCAATCTCGCGCCAGAGCACTTAACCTCTAGACCACTGAGCCGTTATCCAACGGTGTTAATGTCTCACTTCAACCAATCCACGAAGTTTGAACAACCGTTTACCAATTGTCTTTAGTGCTTCCAGGTTTTCCATGGTGGTCTAGCTTCAATTGACTCAGGATTTCAACTATGAAAATACTGAAATCTCCACAAAAGCTCTTCTTATATTCTCATTATTTTATTCACGCATATTCATCATATCACCTTATTTATTTTTACATCCTATGACCTTTATTGTAACAGAGAAAAACATTTTAATCATCTTATTATATTCACTAAATCTATTGTTATTACTCATATTACGTAATCTAGTATTATAATCTTTCTACTACGTCATCTCGGTTATTCCTGTTCACATTTCCTAACGGAATTAGTACTTTAACAAAAAAATTTCATATATATACGATTGTACAGCTTGATAATAAATTTGTTGAGAAGAGATCCATTTGCTGAACTTCGTGTTTTTAATTTTTAAAGTTTAAATGGGAATCATCTGTCAAATCCTAAGTAGTTAAATTCAGACATTTTCAGAGATGGCAGTTC